GTTCGCATGCTTCCGGTGCCGGTAGAGCCAAAGATCCCCGTGGGTTGACAGTCAAGGTTCTAGGATCTGAAACAAGGTCGCCACGGATGGCTAACTCTCCGAATCGTCCAACAACTGCAGTGCGAGGACTGTAGCTTTCCAGCTCGCCCTCGTCCCGAAGTGAAACTTCTTCAAAACTGTCAATAGAGGCTATCGATGCGGGTGATGCCGAGGGGCTATAGTAGTCTGATTCCGAGGGCTCTCGTTTGCGCTTGGGAGAGAAAGATGAAGGTAAGCCTGTCGGCATCATACTGAAAACGGACGTAGTGGGGACGTCACCGAGCAACCCGATGGATCTCATTTGTAAATAAATAGGGTATCCACCACCAAGTTGTTCTCACGAAACGAAGGTCTTCATTCTACAGAGCCCATGGAGGTCAGGGTTAAGAGGGGTTTTGGTCTTGGACGTTCGGCATTGAATCAGACTGTGGGGTACAATGATCGCCACTAAAAATGGCCGCGCATATAATTCAAGGGATTATTTTTAGTCTCTTTTGTCTTTCACTTTTGCAAGGAATAAAGATAAGTTTTTTTTTTTAGTTAAATCTGGCTTTACTCCATACATGCACATTAGCGTACTAGTATTCATCCAATGAACAACTTAAAACACTTAATTGAAAAATATCAGAGCAGCGATAGTCAGAGCTGCTGAGGCAAAAGGCCTGGTAATAATTTACAAATACCTGCAAGCCGTACCAATCGAGTGATGAAGACAAAAGCAAAACCTAACGCCATGACGAAGACTCCCAAGTCCAAACATTTTGCACATCTAGGCCTTTTGCTTCTTCTTGGAGGGCTCGGCATCCGTGTCGTGCTTGCGCTTCTTCTTCTTGTCAGACTCGCCTTCACCACCCACGGACTTTCTCTTCTCCTTCTTCTCCTTCTTCTCCTTCTTTTCTTTCTTCTCTTTCTTCTCCTTCTTCTCCTCCTTAGCCTTGGCGACTTCAACATCCTCCATCTCCGCATCACTCTGGTCAGCATCGACATCAAGGTCAGCGAGAACAGCATCCATGGCGGTTTTCTGTAAGTTATTAGCACTTGTGTCCATTCAGTATGGTGATTAGAGCTCAACATACCATGGCGACCTCGTTCTTGGTAGGGGCGGCGCCGGAGGAGTAGAATTCCAAGCGCTCCTCAACCTGGCCCTTCAGGGCCTCACCGAACTTGGTGTTAGGCTCCTCGGAGAAGTTGTCAATACGGGAAGCAATGGAACACTTGTTGGCGAGGAAACGAGAGATTCTGCCCTTGTTCTTGGGGCCAGCACGGCCGATGAAGGAAGAGTGGTACAGCAGACCATACTTGGGGGTGTTTCCCTTGGTCTTCAAGGCACGGAAAAGGGCCTTCTCAGCACCGAGAATCTGAACGGTAGAGGCGGGGTACTTGGAGAGGTTGGTCAAGCTACCAGCGTGGGAGATCAGACGGGCGCCGACGACTTCACCGATCAGAGCGGCAAGGTTAGGGGCGACGACGCTCATCTTGGCGACAAGGTAAGCGTAGAGAGACTTGCGGTACTTGGCGAGCTTGACAACGCGCTCGGCGAAAGCGACAACGTTCTCCATGTCAGACTCGGAGATCTCTTGACCCATACTGGTCTTAGCAGCATCAATGATGCTCTGGGCAACAGCCTCGTCATCCTCGACAAGTGCAGCAATGTCGTGCAGACGGTCGTTGGTCAGGGCTTGCTTGTCCTTAATGAAAAGGGCGAGCTCGGCGTAGCGCTGGTTGTCGGAGACAATCTTGACGAGCTCGGGGAAGTGCCACGAGTACCACTCGCGAACTCTCATGGAGAAGGTGTTGATGGCCTTGTCGAGCTGATCCAGAATGGCGATAGCCTGGATAATGTGGTTGTCGTCACGCTGGACGGAGAACTTTACCTTAGCACGGGAGTAAGCGTGACCGAGACCGAGCTGGGCAGTGTCCATATCACCATCGCGCAGCTGCTTGAGGAGCTTGCCGGCGTGGAGACGGATACCACGGAGAAGATCCTGGACGACCTCGCTGGTATCACCAGTCTCACAGTCCACGAATGAGAAAGCGGACTTAATGCTTCCTGCCAGAGCCTTGTCGGCAAGACCCAGGATGATCTTCTTTTTCTTGTTCGGCTTGGGGAGGTTCAATTCAAGGAAAGAAACTAGAGTCTCGGATGCGACACCTTCGGAAATGTCATTGATTTCTCCAAGAGCCTGCTTGTTGTTCCTACACATTGTTAGTGAACGATGAAAAATGAAAAGGTTTTCATTTAGACAGATAAAGCGTACTCGAAAGGCAGGAAGCTGGAAAGCTCGACCATCTTGCCAAACTTAGCAAGGTCATTGACACCCTCCTGGACTTCCTTCAAGGCATTGCCGACAGAGTCACCTTGGTGGGCGACCTTGAAAAGCGAGTAACCCATAGGGCCCTCGAAAAGTAGGAAATCGGCCATCGTGTTAGGGCCAATACAAGGTCAATCACAAGATAATGATAAAAACTTGCAACACCGGCCAGAAAACCTCGCAAAGTTCAATTTGATGGGTTGCTGGTGAGGTTGGCGACGGCTGGAAATGGACAATTTTTTTTTCTCGCCGCTAGTGCGAATCCTAAGGCACCGAACCGGAGGTATGACGGTACGTATCGGAGCAGATGTTTACCCGTCCCGCTGATATAACCACGTGACGACGTGGATGCTCGAATGTGGGCTTTTTGGCCGCGGACCTAACGTTGAACAAGCGCTCTATCATCCCTTAATTTAATATTTTTGAGTTATTGGACGTGATACCCTGTCATTCATTACCTGGGAGATGTCTGCAACTCAACTACTTAACCCCAAGGCGGAGTCGAGGGTATGGAAAATATTCCCAGATGGCCCCTCAATGATGTGCCCGCACACTAACATTTCACGCAGCGGAGAGGAGAGGCCTTGAAGGTGAACATCGGTGCCGGTGAAGGTCTTCAAGATGTTCTCAAGTCCAACTTGGGTCCTTCGGGAACTTTGAAGATGTAAGTTTTCTACGAACACACTTCACATACAAAGGCAATGGAGCTGACAAAACTTAGGCTGGTTGATGGTGCAGGCGCAGTATGCAATCCCCGATTCCTCTCGGACAGCACGAAACATCCCTTTTCTGATACAGGCTTGCTATGATAGATCAAATTGACCAAAGATGGAAACGTTTTGTTGCGGGAGATGGTTCGTTCTGCCCTCAAAATCCACAGCATTTGGAGCTTCTAAGCTAACATTTAACAGCAAATTCAAAACCCCACGGCTGTAAGACGAAATTGCCTCAAGAGTCTCGCACACATTGCTGATGAAAATTAAAAGGTTATGATCGCTCGCGCTGCGACCGCACAAGATGATATTACCGGTGATGGAACAACATCTGTTGTTTTGCTGGTGGGAGAGCTTTTGAAGCAGGCGGAGCGTCACATCTCGGAGGGTTTGCACCCCCGTGTCATCACTGATGGCTACGAGATTGCCAAGACCGAGGCCTTGAAAGTATGTAATGGTGATTGAAAGTCGAATCTCGAGATCTAACATATTGCCCACAGTTCCTTGAAAACTTCAAGCTCGAGCGTCCTATTGACCGAGAGCTGTTGCTTTCTGTCGCCCGTACCTCCCTCTCCACCAAGCTTAACGGTGCTCTCGCCGAGAAGCTTACCCCCGACATCGTCGATGCCGTGCTCGCCATCCACAGAGCCCCTGAGAAGCCCGATTTGCACATGGTCGAGATTATGACGATGCAGCACCGGTCATCATCGGATACTCAGCTCATTCGTGGTCTCGCCTTGGACCACGGTGCCAGACACCCCGACATGCCCAAGCGGGTGGAGAACGCTTTCATTCTGACATTGAACGTCAGTCTGGAGTACGAGAAGTCCGAAATTAACTCTGGATTCTACTACTCCAACGCCGAGCAGAGAGATAAGCTGGTTGAGAGTGAGCGCAAGTTTGTGGACGCGAAGCTGCAGAAGATTGTGGAACTCAAGAAAGAGGTTTGTGGAAACGACCCCAACAAGGGATTCGTTGTCATCAACCAGAAGGGTATCGATCCCCTCAGCTTGGATGTTCTTGTTAAGAATGGCATTTTCGCTCTTCGCAGAGCCAAGCGCAGAAACATGGAGCGTCTTCAGCTAGTCTGTGGTGGAACTGCTCAGAACAGTGTTGAGGATTTGTCTCCGGATGTTCTTGGGTGGGCTGGTCTGGTCTACGAGCACCAGCTTGGCGAGGAGAAGTTCACTTTCGTTGAAGAGGTCAAGGATCCTAAGTCTGTGACTATCCTCATTAAGGGTCCTAATGGACACACCATCACTCAGGTTAAGGATGCCGTTCGTGATGGTTTGCGCTCTGTCTACAACACCATTGTCGATGGGTGTGTCATTCCTGGAGCTGGTGCATTCCAAGTTGCATGTGCCGTACACCTGCAGTCCCAGGCCTTCACCAAGACCGTTAAGGGTAAGGCCAAATGGGGTGTTGGTGCGTTCGCTGATGCCCTTCTGATCATCCCCAAGACTCTTGCTGCCAACTCAGGTCACGATATCCAGGATTCGCTGGCTGCTCTTCATGATGAAGCCACTGATGGCAACACTGTCGGTTTGGATCTGGCCACTGGCGAACCGATGGACCCAATCCAAGAGGGTGTCTTCGATTCTTTCCGTGTTCTGCGCAACTGCATCGCTTCCAGCACGGGCATCGCCGCTAACCTCCTACTGTGCGATGAGCTACTGAAGGCTCGGCAGATGAGCAAAGCCGGTGCTGGTGGCCCCGGTGGTCAGGAAGAGTAATGCACTTTCTCATTTACGATGTCAGGCGGTTCATGTAAAGTTTAAAGGGGTTAAAGACTTGATCCCCTCACAAGGTTAGGGGCCAAGAGCCAATCTATTCAAAAATGCACAAACTTCACGTTGCTTCTCATTGTCGTCGTTAAAAGGGAAATAAAGTAATCAGCGTATCGTACATAAACTTGGAAGCTGTCTCATTGAGAGGATCAGTCTTCTTCTGAGGCAACGCTTTGGCCATCCCCATCGGACACAATATCGGGGGGCCAAAGTCCCTCAAAGCCTTCTTCCCTGACTGGGTCGTCCAGGGAGAGATGATGTGCTTGAGCCCACTCCCACACATCAGATTTGCAAATGGTGACCATCTGCTCTGATTGTGTAGTAATTTCCTCTGCAGCTGTACGGGTAGATTTACGTTTTCTCGGGGTGGCCTGGGGTTCAAAAAGTCCCATGCTCTTCAGTGCAGTAATCACATCCTCAGTCAGCATACCAGTTCCCAGGCCGAGTTCTTCAACGGTAATGGTCTCACGCAAGGGTCTCTTGCGGGAGCCTTTCGGGGTGAACTGGGCTTCTGTTGGTCGATTTCAAGGGAGCTACCGTTAGGTTTGCCGCGGAGCAAGAATCGGGCAATCCGTTCGGCCCAAAAACGGACATAGCTTTTGTGGCCCAGCTCACTCAGTGGCTTCTCTGGACCACCGATGCACCCACCATTCGAGTCCCACCCGCTGAGCTTGTAGCTGACTCCCATCAACAACTTCCCAAGCTGTTTGTGTTGGTAAGGCGGGAATATCAGAATGCAGGCAAGGTTGTTCGCGTCCCATGAGAGTTTCTCTTTTGAAAAGAAGCCGAGCACGTAGTAACTGTCGGATTGGTCCGGGTCGGTGAAAGTAAGGATGTAGTACAGGAAGGTCGCGACATCGAAAAAGACTGTCTTGTGGTCGAGGAAAAGTTTCGCGAAAAGGGACAGATTCTGTCCGAAAAGTTTGTGGTTTTGTCCATCAACCTCCCACACTGCATACCCGCCATGGTCGTAGACTTTCGTGCCTGGTGGGGTTATGCGATGCTCGCAGGCCCGTTTGTGTTCCTCAAATATATCCACGTCACACGAGTATCGAAAGCACCAGCGGCAGACGTAGAGTCGATCGGCATCCTTGGCGACGAGGTCTTCAGGGTAGATGGATTGGTTCCATGGCTTGAACAAGAGATCGCCTAATACGACGTTGTTCACGTTGCGATTGGCTGAGGTCTGCAATGGTGCAGACTTCGGGGTCGCCATTGATTTCTATGCGTATTCGAGCGGCGCGACGCGATATCGAAGTTGTTGGAATGCTAGGTTTCTGGGGCGTTCATGCGATGTACCGTCTCTAATGGACCAGCCATTGGTATTATCGTAGAAATGAGAGATGTAGATAGATGAAAAGAGTGAATACGGTCGCACAGGCATTGAGGGACGTTATGAGGACATGATTCTCAATTACTATTATTCAATGTCCATTGAATCCATTCAAATGTCCGCTATTCAGAGTCGACGCCTTGGATTCGAGGCGAAAAGCTAGTGACACGTGATTGGAGCGGGGATCCACCAGAGAGAGCTTCATGATGTTCTCATCTCTCTCTCTCTCTCTTTATCCTGTTGCCTGAAACATATCTCATGTACTTTTTTTGGAAATTCTTTGGATTTCCTGTTTCTTGAATTTCTTGCTCCATTCCTTACATCTGGAAAATTCGAACTTGAAAAAATTGGAAGTGTTTGCCACAGGCAGCAGCATATGAAACTCGTGATCTTTTTTCCCGTTTAGACACACCCCCCGTCTCCAAACTAGCCCCAAAGGCATCATAATTCCAAACCATTTCATTTCTTTATCAACTCTATCAACTCTATCAGCTCTATCAACTCTAGTTCTCGTTCTTTGGTTTTCGATTCTGTAACACCGTCCCACCTATTTGTGTTCCTGATCCGCAGGCTCACGGGGCATCTTCTCCACGATGTTGAAGCCCTTCCAGATCAGAAACCTTCGGGTATCCACTCAGAATCAACCCGAGCAGGTTGCGGATTCTCGTACCCATGCAGGAGTGGTCCAGATTTCTGCTACAGATTACGATGATTTAGCCTCAACCCATCCCCGCGCAAGATTGACTTACATGGATGACGATGATGATGACGACGAAACAATCACCGTAAGTTCACCACAACCTGTCGGCTCTCTATCATCAAATCAAAATCTCACCCTTTTCCCTAGGTTGGATCCGCTCTCGAGCTCTCTCAGCGCCTTGAGGAGCCCCTGGACATTAATACACAGCTTGAATCCATCGAACTTTCTCCCGGTGACATCAGTCCGATGCATATATTTGATATTCGCCGATCGAACTCTGTGACCGAGTTGTGGAAGCGATTTGAAGACAACGTTCCGAAACAAGACTTGGATGATAAGAAGAACGGCACGCAAGCTACTTCCAAGGCTATTGTCCTCGGAGAGCAACATGAAGTCCCAGCTCCTCATATTACTACTACCTCGCCATCGGTCTCTGCAAATCAGCCTCGGCCTCTTATGGAAGCATTTGAGGCTGAGCTAGCAGAGATGCTCAGTGCTGCTGAGTCCCCGGAGACTCGAGGGCCTCAACCTAATTCGCCACCGACTACTGAGCCATCAGCCAACACGAACTCAGAGCGATCCCCTCATCCCGTTGAGATTCTAGCGGCACAGGTTCTAGAACATCTTACCAACGGAGCTACTATGGTACAATCTGAATGGAGATCAAAAATTCCTGAGCTACAGCGACAGTTACAGAATGCTCAGAGACAATTTGAGACTGCACAGAAATCTCTGCCTGTGAACGTGGAAGCGTCATTGCGGACACTACTCGCCACGGTTGAGGCTCACCTAAGAACCGCTTTTAACAATCTCCCAGACGGCGGAAGGCAAATGGCAGAGGATGCATTCCAAGCAGGAAGGCCTGTCGCTGAGAATGCCGCTGATGGTTTTCGTATGATGGCCTCCGAACTCAACGAGGTCGGAAGAACATTATTTGCCGCATTTGAAAGCGAGTTCGGACGCGCTGCGTCAACAGCCCCTACGTCGACCTCGACTTCCGAGATGCCAAACCCCGGAGTATCCGGGCCATCCTTTAACACTGCTGCAGACAATGGATCTACGGCTATGGGCACTATGTATTCCCAGACCTGGAACTCCAATCCTTCAAGCACAGCCACAAATGAGAAATCAACAGCAGGCCCAGGCCAATCGACCTCATCTAATACCACACAAACAGTAGTACCTCCATTCCAAAATCATCATGGTCAATCTACATCCGCTCAACCAAATCATTGGGCACCCCCCTCGTGGCCTGCTCCATTGTGGAATCCATTCCAAACCTATACTGCACCCCAGCCTCCCTGTCCTCCTCTGCCGAATTTCACTTACTGGCCGCAAGGACCACCTGCGCCTGCGCCCCGGTCACCTCCCCCTGCGTTCAATACCCCGTTGAATGCTACACATACATCACAAGTCAAGTCTGGGGGATCGAAAATCGGACCAGCAACTAAATCCTTGTTTATTGGGAATGTTGGTTTCAAGGTTACCGACAAGATGATACAGGATGTGTTTGCTGCCAAGGGATTCCTTGTCAATGTGGATCTTCCGCTAGATACCGAATCAGGAAGACATGCAGGCTTTGGTTACGTTCATTTTCCCTCAGATTACCCGGCTTTAGCTGCAATGGAAGCCCTGCAAGGTGCCGTAATTGACGGTCACTCGATAAACCTTGAGCCTATGGACCATCCCCCTATTGAAAGTGTGCAGATTTCGCCCAATACCAGTACAACGACACACGACACCCAGACAGACCACCGCCAGGTTGAGACGAGCAATGCCGTTTGGTCCCCGCTTGGTGTCAAGCAACAAAAGAGTCCATCCAAGCCTGGCAAGACGGACAGTCGGAGAAAGTCTGTTAGCTTCATGGATCTCACGCAGAGTGTTGATCCTGGTCACGCTCGGACAGGGTCGTCCGCACTACTTGACTCTCCAGGCGAGGACCCTGCATTCAGCGCACGGTTTCCCTCACTTTTACCCGAGACGAGCGCACAGCATAACGATCCACCGAGTGGCCGGGGTGTTTCCTCAGATTTGCATACGGAGTCACATTTCCCACCTGTGTCTCAATGGGAAGCCCAACTTCTTGCAAACCGGCAGGAACGCAGTGGAACAGCACCTATAACTAGTGATTTGCATAGCCAATCACCAAATAACACAAAGCACCGTGAAGGATCTTCCACTCACGGTTTACCCTTGTATCCTACACCGAAGGCGTTTAGTCAGCCTCGGCCAGCTTCTCATCTCGATGCAGCCGCCAATCTATCATCGGCCGTTGATGCCGGACAACCTTCCGACCATAGCAAAGAATTTCGGGATCAAATTGGCCATTCTTCCGATTCCAACAAGACTGTGCGCCCAGTGATGGATCTCAATGGCCCCCAAAGGGCGCCCAAATTGAGGCGTCGAGCCACTGAGCGCAAAACTCATAAACCAAACCATTGGCATGCTGCGGAGACTGACCGTCACAATCCCCTCAAGCATTCCGCAAGTATGCGTAGTCTTGGGGATAGATCGCATGATCCTGTGGAAACAGACACATGGGCGCGTCTGTCTAGGCGAGAACGAAATGGCGCCTCTTCTCACGAGCAGATCCCCGGAAGCTTCCCGGTGGAACATGCGACGATGGCTGAAATCTCTGATACACATGATACCAGTGCTATTGAGGCTGAGGATGCGGCAATCGAACGATGTGCCTCCGCTCTTGTCGACATAGGCTACGGGGACGAACGGGCGGGCGGACGGTCGAGGATGGCTGTGTATGCGGCTATGGCAAATGGTGACCTCATGGATGCGATTGATATGATTGAAGAGGAAAGATCGATCTATGAACGACGGCCTTCGCAGTAAGGCATTGAACATCTGTTTCTTTTTATGTTTCGGGGTTATCGAGTGACCCAGTCATTCCTTTAGCTGCAGTTTAGCTTAATTGGGACTCTTGTGGCGTCATTTACTCTCGGTAGTGTTGAAATTCCACTCTTTGTTTTAATGACTTGCTAAGCGAATTATTCATGGATGTTTCGAGTCCTCAAACTATGTATCCCACGCAGCGTTAATATAACTACCCACCTTTTAATCGGCCTTCCTTGTATTATGTTGTTTGATATCCTTGTCAAATGCGACAAAGTGTATACCTACATTGATAGGACTGACTCGGTAACATATATAAACTGTTGTATAACATCCTGATAATATGCTAGTAGTGAGATTGTAGTCAAGAGACATATTTGCTTGGATATATATGCCTTTCTGAAATAAGAAGTTACTACCAACATAACATCTAGTCATGTAGTGCTATAACTAACATAGTCAATGGTTCCCAACAAAATAGATACTATTACCTATATTTGTTTTCTTTAGAAAATCCCAAAATCTCAAAGACCAATATGTGGCCGGGTTAACATAGTGAATGCTAACCGGACCGACATCAACGCCGATAAGTTTTCTGGCACCTCCGAACTCCCCGATCATCCAACCCACACCTTCAGCAATGCAGATATGGCGGCGAACCTTCGCCACGTCTGTGGGCAGACTCACCCATAGCTCAATTAATTCCCGTTCTGTCGTGCGATGCGCGCAGATCCTCCAAGCCAGCAAGAACGGTGGAGTCAGTAGCTTCGAGGACCAAGAAATCAAAGTCAATGGGGTTATTCGGTCTGTACGGAAACAGAAACGCTTTGCGTTCGCGGAAATATCTGATGGCTCGACCGTGGAGCCACTGCAGGCAATTCTTAAACCTGCGCAAGCAGCAGAGTACGTTAGACCGCGCGCGAGCTGTGATTCTCGACCTGTTTGTCAACAAAGACTAACTTGAGCGTCTCTTCTCTAGTCTGTCAACCGGAACTGCGATCGAAATATCAGGCATATGGAAAGCTTGCCCACCGGGCAAAGAGCAAACTCATGAGCTCCAAACAAGCGATGTCAAGGTTGTGGGCGCATCGGACCCAGAGGTGAGCCCAACAGCTTTCCCCCAGCTGTCGTCAGACCTCACGCTAACCATAATATCTATGGTTGCAGACGTTTCCGATCCAGAAGAAGTACCACAGCCCCGACTTCCTGCGCCAGATTCCACACCTTCGCATTCGAACACCCTTCAATTCTCTCCTTTCGCGCTTCCGATCCGAGTGCATGTTCCAACTTGGCAATGTCTTCCACTCTCATCCGGACGGAGCTTTTACACAAGTTC